TCACCTTTTTTGTCTTAACTGATAATAAAGGTGATTGTGTTTCAGTTGTTCTTTGTGAAAGACATTTTAAATTCTGTCTTTTAATTTCAGTTGTAATAAAAACTGTCTGCACTCCTTGCTTATTTGTAGCAATGGAGCGTGAGTAGTTCCGTATATCCTCCAGTGAGAGGTAAACATATGTATAATACTGGTTAAATTCTGAAAATATTGATGTTTTATATATTTATATATCTATGTATTATATGCTTCATGCATGATACAGTGATGTATGTACTTTCGGTGTTGTGCCTGGAAGTAAGTGATTAGTGCATCATCAACCTGCCGGTAAAATAACCACGGCATTCCTATCAGTATGGCTAGTCCTCCACCGGAACGCTAAGGATGTTAACTGATGCATGGCACAAAACCTAAATGATCCTTCTGGGCTATTAGGGTTTAACTTATATATATATAGAGTAACGCGATCATAGAAACTCTGCACCGTAGTCTCTAGTGGGTACTTTTTACGTATACCGTTGGATCATGATCTAATGGTCACCAAACAAATATGCTTAAAATTAATTGTCAAAATCTACCTAATTTAGTTATTAACTAAATAGAAAATGTCTATGACTTATTCATTGTGATCTAGTTCTATAAGGAAAAACTCTTCAGATTAATAAAAAAAATTATTTTTATTAACTAATATTGAACGGATCAAATCTAACCACCAGATGGTTTTATCTCCAGCCAACTACAACTCTTCATACTCAAACTTGATTTCAACTTGATATCATTGAATTGAGCAAAATTTCATGTTGTATCATGGAAAATTTTAACTTCATTAATGTTTATTGTACAAGAAGATAGCACCAGATTAATTTTTTAGATGTTTTTTTTTAATTTAATTTGCAACTGGGAAAAATATTTTTCTATTGACGACATTGGAAACAATAAAAGAATGAAGGCAATGGATGAGGTTCACAATATTTTTCTCATGTTCAGTTTAAAAATAAAATAATGATGGCAAAGGTTTTTGATATGCAATCCTAATTTGAAACTTAATAAGCACTTCTAATTGGGTTGATTAAAAAGTTAAAGAGAGAAAATAAAGATTAATTTGACCAAAAAATTAGAAAGACCAACCTAACAATGGCGTACCCCAATTGAAGCTACATAATGGGTTAACCCGTATAACATACGTAAAAGGGTCAAAATATTTACTTATATTAAATTTCAAAAAATTAAATAGACTTTCCTTATAGAACTAGATCACAATTAATAACTCATAGACATTTCCTATTTAGTTAGGAACTAAATTAGGTAGGTCTTGACAATTAATTTTGAGCATCTTTATTTAGTGACCATTAGATTGTAATCCAACGGTATACATAAAAAGTACCTACTAGAGACTACGGTGCAGAGTTTCTATGATCGCGCTACTATATATATATAAAACTACTAGACGAATGACCTAAGTGATCCTCATGAATGACTCGTTCTTCTGGATTACTTAGATCGTTTAACTGGTATAAAGGATAATATTACCAGTCTAACAACCACGGCATTCCTATCGGTATGGCTAGTTCTCCACCGGAACGCTAAAGATGTTTAATTGGTTTATATGTATCACAAGATATAGTTGAATGAATAATTCAAATATTCTTCATGAATGGCTTGTCCTTCTAGTTTGCTTGGATTAATCAATTGACATATCAATAACTAACTAACCTAAGAAGTTGTTGTGTTATGACTACTACCATTGGTTGACCTCAGAAGTAGCCGTGTTATGGTTTATTATGTATGCACCTACTATTATGAAGACAAACGAATAATTCAAGTATTCCTCATGAATGACTTGTCCTTCTGGTTTGCTTGGATTAATCAGTTGTCATGTATACCTCCAACTAACCTAAGAAATTGTTGTGTGATGGTTTATATACATCAAACCTACCAATTGACTTTTTAGTAAAATGGAAGTTGATTGTTGTAAGGTAGCATTTCTAGCATTTAACCAATATAACGCATATGGGATCCTTGAACTGAAGGATATTTTTTATTATTTTTTTACTCTGTCTGCACTTTTTACTCTATCGGCACATAACTGTTTACGTAGACTCATTATTAATCTAAGTTCACATCACAAGCTATCACATGCTGTCTTATTCGAATTAGCAACTTTACTATTTTATTTCATTTTCAAATTGTTAAAACTCTTCGTGGGATCAATACTTGGACTTAAAACCAAAAAAACTACAATTCGACCACTTATACTTGGGTGTATAATATTAATCCGATCACTAAAAAGTGCGAATCAATACATTAAAACAACTGAAAACTAAAACACGAGAAAAACAAGCATCATATAATATAGTGAAGATGAAGATGTTTACCTCGCCAAATCCACCTTTTCCTTCCATTGTCTGGAAGTCAAATTAATCAACACCCATTTTTCCCCTTTAAAACGTACATGTTTAGCTTCTTTCTTCTGTAACAACTTTAATAGAATTTTTTGATCTTCCTTTGAGACATTAACATCAGCCAACTTCTTCTCCTGTAAATTTTGACTATTTGAAAAAAACCAAAAGGCAAAATCACATATTTCTTCATTTTGAAAGAATTACCATCCTACTCTACCATCCTACCAACAAAATTCTGCTAGATGATCCCATACACACATACCATGTCGCTCTTTCCTCTCACGTAAGTTCTTCATTTGCTTTTTGTAATGGTTCTGCATATACTACTTTGCTACCATAATCTTCTATTTCGTAATATTATAGGATTCTTCATCCGACAATGGTTTTGGCTCTTTTCTTCCAGAAGCCATGGGATCCTTCTTCTTGGTTGATGACCTCAAACGATCTCGTGGATCATGCCTTTGAAACCAACACCTTGCTGAATGCATTCATTTCCCTTAAGATTAAGAGGCAATATATACAAACTCACCTAACAAACATTTCATTCCAAAACTGATATTGTTTAGCCCCAAAAACAAATAACAGACTGAATGCACGTATATTGCATTGATAAGGTGAAACATCACAAAGAGTATTCAATGTATTAAATGTACACATATCTACATGTATGTTTATTGTGTACAATTATATCGAGAGAGAGCGATAGACAGACAAATAAACATCTACATAACTTAACACATTCCAAAACTCAAATCCGTTATAAATTTCTTTATTTCCTAAACAACTAAGCCAAATAATTCCAAACGTCACAATATCAGGTTTCCCCATAACTGCCATACCAAAGATACCTCCATTTAAAAAGCATAGAATAAATAAGCAAAAATGATGGTGTGGTCTAAAAGCCCAGACCCACAGAAGGGCACCCCAAAAGGTTACCTTGATAATTAAGATTTCAGAATATGTGATTATAAAAGAAAAATAACCTAAAAATAAAACAAAAAAAGGGAAGAAAACAAAGATTGCCATGTGATGTTCAAACAATAACACCTTGTGTTTTGATGCAGGTCAAGAACCTTAAAGGGATCAAGATTTGTATTGTTCAAACCCATATGCAGCCCTTTAAGATTCGAATTATTTAAACCCAAATGCATCTTATTCAAGAATATGCAAAGCCCAAGACCGAAAACCTTATCAGAAGATATATGCTAAAAAAACAAATCAATAGGCAGATGGATGGGTTTGGGATTAACTCCAAATTTTCGTGTCCCTGCAAAGAAAGTCAAACAAAAAAAAAAGAAAGAAAGATCGTTATGTGACGGCCAAGCAATAATCACCATACCTTGGTAGAGATCTAAAAAACTTGAAGGGATCAAGATTTGTATTGTTCAAACCCATATGCATCTCATTTAAGAATATGCAAAGCCCAAGCTTGAAAAACTTAGAATCATGAGATATCTTAAAAATACAAATCAACCTGCAGAAAGATCGGATTACTTCCAAATTGTTGGCTCCCCAAAAAGGAAAAAAATCAAGGAAAGAAAGATTGATGTGTAACGGTCAAACGATAAACACCATACCTTGATACAAATCAAAAAGATTGAAGGGATCAAGTTCAGTTTGTATTGTTTAAACCCATAAGCATCTCATTCAAGAATATGCAAAGCCCAAGACTAAAAACCATAGATTCATAGGATATCTTCAAAAACACAATCCAACATGCAGAGAGATTGAATTACCGCCCAAGTTGTTGGTTCCCCAAAAAGAAAATAAAATCATGGAAAGGAAGATTGCTATGTGATGATCAAACGATAGTACCTCATACTTTGATAGAGATCAAGAAGCTCAAACGGTTCAATATTTGTATTAATCAAACCTATACGCATCATTCAAGAATATAAAATCCCAAGCTGAGAACCCCCGAATTAGAAGATGTCTACGAAAAAAAAAAATCAAGCAACAAGATCGGATTGCTATGTAATGGTCAAATGACAATACCTCATACTTTGATAGAGATCAAGATATCGATTGTGAAAGTGCTGCCTTTATAGGGAGTGCCAAGAGGGCCAGGGATTGTTTCAATCAATTGCGTGAGATTGTCGCTTTTAGGGTTTACGCTAATGCCTGACACTTCTATGTACACTCTTGGAACCCCTTCTACACCCGAGCGAAGTCCACCATTTTCGTTGCAATTTGATCGATTCTGTACGTGAGAAAGGGGGAGGGGGGAGGGGGAAGGGTTGTAACGGCAGTAAATTGGGATTAGTTCACATGAGGTTTAATGTTAGACTTTGATGTTTAGGGATAAGAATGAAATAGTTGTGATTTTGGAGGGTAGAAGTCGAAAAAATAAGTTTTTCAGATATGCTGATATTTTACTGTTTAAAGTAATATAGATATTTCATAGCACTGAAGCCCCCACTGAATGTTTTCGCATTATAGCCTTCATATTGGTTGAGCCGCCCTTGATTGGTATGATAGTAGTAATGTGAGAAGAAAATACATATATCCGTGTTATTGAATGAGGGTCCACAAACACAGGATCTTATCAGTAAACAACCAATGAACTCTTACTTCAGTTTACATCCAACCTCCAGACACTATCCACGAATACTTTTTTTCTGCATCACAAGTAGCTTAAAAGTGTCATTTCATTTGATATCAAACTTGCAAAGTGATTCTCAATCATGGTCCATTCATTAACCCCAGCATCAGCCCCTGCGGTGCCCATTTTAACAACACCCAGAAACACCCACATTCCATCTTTCGGTTTGCAGAGAGTGTGGGCTTGCCATCAAGGTTCTTATCAAGCTTTTGAGCAAAAAATTGTCCATCGCAGGTTTGTATATGCTCCTTTTACTAAATTTCGTTGCTGCATGTAAAACTTATATTGTAGATATAAACGCTAAAGATGCATGTGACCTTATTTCTTTCTTACAATTAGCAAAAAATTGAGAATGGTATAAATTATAGAAGTAACTTGGGGGAATCTCTCACGTATTGGTACCAGTCTGGCATTTATTTATAGTGATTAATAAGTTTTAGAAAGCAGGACATCTCCCAAGTTGGACAAACAGGGAATTAAGTTGTACATTCTTTAGTTGTATGCTAGATTTGTTGATGGTGTACGTACCCATGTGTATATAAAAGAGGCACCGGAATTTATAATAGGTGTCCTATCTGCTCATTTTCCCGATCTTAATAACATTGTCTTTTTTCTTATCGAAACCAAAAAAAAAAAAAGTTCGATCGTCACTATGTAATGTAAGCTTTGGGTAGCTGTGTTTTTGAATAAAACGCATCGTATTAAAAAAAATAGTAACTATCTTAAACAAACAATACTAAAAAAGGTCCTTCAAAAATTGTCAAATATCTTGGGAGTTATTTGGGAATACAGTAACAATGAGCAAAGGTAATAAAATGATGAATCAATTTGTCTACAATTAAAGATTGCCTTTCTTGTGGATTCATTGGAAATTAGGAGGTTAAATTTATTTATTACTCATGATTTTCAATGAGGTTTTCAGACATGAAACGTTGCATCATGTGTCATGACTTTTAAATGCAGGACTGTTACACTTAGCCTAGCAGGTGCATTGCTTGGCTTGAACTTTAGTGACAGAAGTGCAGGTGCAGCCAGAAGGCCGCCCCCGCCCCCACCGGAGGAGAAAAAGGACCCTAATGTGGGTGGAGTTACGGCGAAAGTTCTAGCTAGCAAGAAGAGGAAGGAAGCCATGAAAGAATCGATGGCCAAGCTAAGAGAGAGAGGAAAGCCCATCAAAGAGCCCTCTGATTAGTTTTTCAACAGATGTCTATGTTCGGATAGTGTAATTTCCATTCAGGTTGTATTCTTGCAGTTTAATTGTGTGACAATTTTAGTGGGACTTGATTCATTTTTACTTAACTTATGCTTGTAGAGTACCATAAAAACAGGTGCAGTATTCAAATTAACCTTCTTATATCAAGGGTCTGTGTAGAAAGTAGTGTGAGAAGTCAACTAAATTGGACGATTCAAAGCATCCTCCACATTTTCTAGAATTGTTGGAATTGTTTGTGGTGGAAGAAATTAGGGGATGTTTTGAACGAGAATGCATTATTTATGCTTTATATGTTGTCAATATGTTGAAGATGACATTCATAAATAATAAAACAGCTATGACATGAAGAAGACATTAGGATAAGAATTAAAGAGAATGCATTGGGTAATTGCTATTGCAAATGACCCCTAAAAGTTTATCTAGTTAGACAAATATGTTGACCCTCTATCACACACTTTGCTTCAATTTTTCTCAACAATAGATCGGTCACCTTATATTAATAAAGATTCCTTTATAAGTAGTGGAGATCACACCAAATTTTATAGTATTAAAATAGCATCATTAGAAATTTTTAACAGAAATATATGTTAGAAGTCATCTAAATTCAAAAGTAGGGCTTTGAGGTCATGATTCGATCTAGAATAGGCTTTGCAAGTTCATATGTTAATTGTGAGAATTTCATCTTTCGAAAGGAACAGATGAATCTAGGTAACAACAACACAGGCCAATGGTGGTTATGTAATGCCCCAAAAATCAGAAGTCCGTAATTTAACAAAATTCGGGTAAAATTTCCTTTGTACAGGGAATTCTACCCAAAACACAACCTGTGCAATTACATTACATTGACCACACCGAGTCCATTTATGAATAAATATTGACCACACCCGGCCCATTTATTCATACTCATATAACCACATGCAATTTTTCTTTTACATTAAAACAATTCATATGAGTTCGATTTGTAACGCCCCAAAATTCCCCTTAGACAACAAAATTGTCTAAAATCATTCACCTCATGAGAGCAACTAAATGGACTTCATAACAAAAGAGAATTTCATTCATCATCCACAATATATACAACATCACCTAAAATGATATGTCCAACTATGACAATTACATCCAAAAATAAGTTAACTATTATCTTGTAGTGGAATAACAAAAATATTAGACTTCACAGTGTCTCAAAATGAATTTCCTAGTCTAGAACATAAGGGAATATATCTCTAAACGTCCACCTCGGGATTCATGTTCCCATTTATTGGGGCTTCCCAATGTATCGACTCATTACCTCCGAGCTCCTCCTCTAGACCATAATCTTAAAAAGATATTGTTTGTAGGGGGTGAGCACTAAGCTCTGTAGGAAAATCCTCCTAAACTCGAACAAGGTTTCGAAAGCATATAAAACAATAGATCTCATTTTACAAATATCATATATAGCTTTTGAAGGAAAACAGAGACATTTTAATGGATCTCAAGTTTACACAATAACAATAATTAAATGAAAAGTAAAACCAATTCGCAAAAATAACAATTCCAATGAGTTACCATTTCCACAATAATTTCCAAGATAATCATATCCAAAAGATAACGCAATAAATAATAACCAAAATATATCTCAAGTCTGATGTAAGATAATCGCATGAATAAACACATAGAGAATATCTTGGCCCACACACACACAAATCCTCATAAGGATATCAAACTTCGGGAAGGACGTCTACCGATGCATTGTCTCATACCAATGCACCGGCAATAACGAATCCGACCCAGACATAGTATAGTAATCCTCTGACACGGCACCCATGAGCTAATAGTGGTTTGGTCTTCGTAAGGCACCAACCCACTACGAGTGGTAAAAAAAGTTCAAACCCGCACAGAGTAAGAACCACATACATCTATCCACTCTACGATATCTGATCAACGGCCACCCATAGTCATCCAAACACCTCAATGAGATACAATCACCAACAATTTCTCAAATCACAAATACATTCAAAAATCCCCAATTTTCACAATTTGTAATACAATAGAACAATTTAAGAAACTAAGCAAGAGATCCTCATAAATACCATTTTGTGGTTCAATATAAAGTACTAAAATTTTGAAATCAAGAGAAAAATCTCTATTTCTTAAAAGAAACAAGGGTTTTGAGATTACAAGAATTTCATGGCTATCAAACCATAACTTCATTCAAAACATGATAATATTTGCAAGAGTATCAAGAAATAATGATTTTATAACATACATCTAAGATTTAAAAGCAAAATATACATAGATATAAACCCTAGCCTCAATGGACAAAAATATGAAGAAATCTCTATCTTGAATCAAAGTTCCAAATCAAAACCAAGCTTTAGAGCCTTTCTTCTTCCCTTTTCTTTTTCCCTTTTTCTTCTCTTATGATTCTAAGAGGTTTGGGGTGAGAGATGTGGGAAAAAAATGGAAGAAAAGAGCTAAAATTTGTGTTTTAAACACAACAGTCCGCGACAGTTACTGTTCACAGGCTGACTTTTGGGTTTTCTCCAAAATTATGATTTTGCCACTAAAAATCTCTAATTTGATCTATATGACTACCTTAAGGTTTTTCGACATTCCGGATTCATTTTTAATGTTATTTTAACCTAAAAAAATTTATTTTTATGATTTATCTCAAAACTAAAGTAAATTTACACACAAAACACTAAAATTACTATTTTATTCCTCCGAACTGCTATATGTGTTAAATGGCTATTCCAAATTTTTTGGATCTCTAGGTTCAATGATAATATTATTTTGACCTAAAAAAATTAATATTTTTATTTAGTTACCCTTATCAACCTTAAACACCTCCAAAAATTAAATTTCACAATCAATTTGTCTCCCTAGTATTTATTTCTATTATTACAATCTATAGGGTTCATGCATACCTCATCACCTATATTAGCATTTCAAAAATAATTACTTGCTATATAAAGATAAGAGTGTGGAGGTTTACAGGTTATTATTATTATATTATTATTATTATTATTATTTTAGCTTGGTAACATCAATTGGCCAATAACCTAAAGTTTTGTAATTTACAAATGCGGCTACTGTTTCATATGCTTTCAGTCTGACAGTGTAAGTACCTTGTCAGCTTTGACTACTCTAGCGACACATTGACTTATTGTATCGTTTTAACAAGTACCAATGAAGCATCTTTCTTGCCTTAGCGTTCACCTGTTTCAAAATTTACTTGCGCAATGAAAGACGGGGCTTTGTTTTTCTGTTTTTATAATCAAATTCTGATTTATTCAAGCATGTTACTTACACTTTGACTTAATTTATTAATTTAATTATTCACAATTATTAGATTAACAGTAAACTGCAATATTTTTTAGGGCTCATAATCAATCAATAATTTTGGTAAATTAAGTCTATAATTATGTTAGTAAATTAGATCAAAATAACTATTGTTATCATATTAATTTGTTTTATAATCCAAATTTGACTTCAATTTATATAATAAATTATAATAAAATTCAAATCTCAAAAAATAAATAAAATAATTTTTACTTTTCACTGTTGAGATATATTTAAATTTTACTTTAAGTTTAATCGGATGACTAATATTAACACCTCAAATTTAATAGGGAAAATAGGACTCTAACGATATATATGATAATTTTTTAAAGTGTTTCTAGAACTTATAACTTCTCATAATTACTTTTTTTTTTAAAAGTAGTGTTTGGAATTGCTCCACCACTACTATGCCACCAACCCCCCCCCCCCAACCGCTCAACAACCACCCCCACCTCTATCACCATCACCACTACCACCACCACTATCACTATCACTATCGCCACCCCTGTCACTACCTCTGTCACAACAACAACAACCACCACCACCACCACCATTGCCCCACCACCACTGTCGCCACCCCACCTCCACCACCACTTCTGCCACAACTACCCACCACCACTGCTACCATTGTCCCACCATCACCCCTACCACCCTTAACCCCACGACCATCATCACTACCACCACCATTACCACCACTCACTTCCACAACAATCAGTGCTTAAATTTTTTTCTCTCTCCTCTATGTTTGTGATTTAATTTTGGGGGTGAATACCAATATATTTATTATTGGCCATTTTTTTTATTGAAGGCACGGGCAATAACTTGTATAATTATATGATTCAAGCTCAGGTTATTACCAAAATGAAATGGGACCAAAAGACATGCTACATATTAGCTTCTGAACCCTTAGGGAAATCCTCTTCTTTATTCACTAACCCATAACCATTTTTTCGAGCACGCACAATCGAAGATAATGATTAGCACTTTTTTATGATCAACAAGAACGATGAAGTAAGCAAGTTGCAATAGGGTACATCAAATTTGACTCACTATATATATTTAAGAAGATGAGGAACAAAATCAGTCGATAGAAAACGAGAGTTACTTAATGAAAGGGGGAGGAATGAAAAACTTCGTTGGTATTAAAGAACCATGGCCACTATTGATAATTGTTAGGCACGTCTCAATTCAATGTTGCTACCTCATCTACCCCATAATTTTGGACCAATCTGATATTTGAGGACCAAATTTTCCTTGTAATTCTGCAAAAATAAAAAATACTTATCTCTTCTTCTTCTTCACACTTAAAATTGGTCTCTATGTCTCTCTCTCTCTCACAGACGTCCAAATTCACCACACAATAATTAATCCCTCTTCACCAAATTCTGTTATGTCTCTGTCCCTCTTTTTAGTCCCAAATGAAAGAGGGGAAAATAGTTTTGCAAGTGAGAAACTATATACATATGCTCAAAATGTATCTAGTTGACTACAAAATATACCTATATCTATATCTATACTACTTCTAAATATCAAGTACTATGCAAATTTTTTTTTCTTTCTATACCTCCTAAACTATGCAATTAGTACTTTTTAATCCCTAAATGTGACTCAGTTAAACTTAACTCTTTGCCTCCACCGTTTGTTGGCCTATCATTTTCCTCTTTCCAATTTAATACCCAGGTGTGTGGTATTTTTGGGCATTTAAAATTTAGTTGCAGAATTCACATATGCTTGTCCCTCTTACCTTTTACAAATTTTGAAAAAATTAAAATATTAATTAAAGGGATAATACGGTAATTAAGTAGTTCAAGTGCGGGTTAAAAATATTAAATTTTAATTAACTCAGATGATGAAATAGACCTCACCGTTGGATTTGTCTCTCGAAATTGAGTTTGCCAGTCAAATTTCATTAAATTTTGAGATAGTCAGAATTTTCACGTAAAATGTG